TCCTCCAATTAAATTGGAACCAACGGGAAAATTTAATTGGACGAACAGTTTTTTGAGAGAAGTTTTTTCACTTGTGGGTGAAATCAGATTCATATAGCTTCTGCTATGACAGTAGAAAGATATTTGATTAAATTTTAATTATGGTAGTGTTATTTTCTGACCAACGTTGATGATGACAATATTATAATTCAATGAGTCTTATAGTTAAAAGTTCAAATCTCTGATAATTTTTGTATCAAAGTGACCAATTTTCAGAGCATTTGATAAAGACTAAGAAATGTATATTGCTAGTTTTTCGCTGCAATAAATTTGATGATGATGATTATTTCTTAGCAAAGTTGTTTAATAGAAATATTATCATCACATTGTTTATGAGTTATATGCATTATTTCCATTTCCGCCCAACGGTGATATGGAATTAATGTAGAAGAATGAGTTTATTCTAATTCTACCACAACGGTGATTTAGAGTATAAAAAGGAAGTTTTACAAAAGTTTAATGTGCATATTTTTTAACCAGACCAACGTAGGGTTATTTTTATGCTCATTATTGTTGATTATTAGCTATGTTTTCTCAGACTAAAAGTTTTTCATGCTGTCATTCGTGAAAGTGAATGGCTGGGTACTTGTGACCCGAAAGATGACCAGGAAAGGTCATAACGTGAGGGAGTATGTTCTCTTTAAAGAATGGCTTCAAAAGAAAAGAATTCTTGGATATTAATCCAGGAGAAGAAAACAGATAGATCATTGAGAGTCTTGGTTGACGAATGTCTTTCATGTACTCTCTATGATTTGAGATAAAACAAGCAACATGCGTGTTTAATTTGACCAACGTCGGATCAAGCATGTGTGTCAAAGAGCATTCGGATTTATTTATAAATTTGATGATTGAATATGCAGTCAAAAGAGCCAATTTTGGCATTTATGTCCCTTGCAGGGAATTACCCGCATGGCGGGAAAAGATGATTATGATAAAACCCGTATGGCAAGATAAGTCCGGGAAAATCCTTGCGTAACCCGTATGGCGGCAGAAATTTTCTCAGACTTATCCTGTATGACAGGAGAAAGACATGATGACTCATGTGCTTTTAATGTGTCCCACTCTGGGAGAAAAGTATGCAGTAGCTATTATGCTTTCCTAGTATCAACCATACACCTTATGTGTAACGGTCATTAAGCACTCAATAAATCCAAAGAGATTAAAAGTTACAGATGTACCTAAAGATAAGAATTATATGCAAGTGTGACTTGCAAAAAGTACTAATGATAAAGAACTCCGTTGCGTTTCTGAAATGAAATGAGGAAAAAGTACTCCCATACTAGTTAAAAGATAACTTCATTTCGTATGAAGTAATTTGATGAATGAAGTAGATAATCGAAGTTTCTTCAATTCACAAGAGTTATCAATGGTTTTCGAAATTGTGGCAGGAAAGTTCTTGCCACATTTCGAGGGGGAGAAAGATATATGAGATAAATTAAGAATGATGAAACTCCCCTATGCTTTAGATAATGTGATGAAGAATGTGATCATCTAGGGGAGTATGACGGTCATATTAATAGCCCTAAAGAAAAGAAATAGTTGTATTTCTGGATCTTTTACAGTTCCAAAAGCAGAGTAAGGAATACTAAGATGGTGCTTAAAGTGCCATAAAGAAGAAAGTTTTAAAAGAATAAACCCAAATTGTAAAGTTTAAAGATACACCATTTTTAGTGAAGATGGAGTAATCTGGGGGAGCATGTTATATGACCTATACAACACATGTTGTTAGCTCTATAAAGGATGAATGAGTAAACATGGATCTTGTGATACAGGTCCTTGTAAAACCTATTGCCTCTTGCATTGATAGAGCAACAACATCCCCATATGAAAGAAGTGTCAGTACCTGAGACACTGATGGTCTCAAGGAATGAGAAAATCAGATGCTTCTGATTACTATAAAGCCTATGTTAGTGAAATTCAAGTGGAGGTTGATCCCACCTCATTTAAAGGCTCATTCGAGCTTTGAGAAATGTCTGCTTATCTAAATGATAAGAGACTATGTGAGATAAAATGAAATTGGTGAATCCCGACGATGTTTGGGACTGATGAGTAATTTCCAATGGAGCCAAAATAGTAGGCTGTAAAGAGTCTACAAGGACAATGTGACTCCAAAGGAAATATGTAAAGGTGTAAAACACGACTTAAATCGAAAGGGTTTTGCACGTTTTGCACTGAATAGATTACAATGAGTGTTAGTAGCACATCATGATCTGAGTTACATCAGATGAAAGATATTATGATCTGAGTTACATCAGATGAAAGTAAAGAACATAGGGGATACTGCCTGAAGAAGTCTTTTATGGACTAAAGCAATCAAATGTTGTTTTGGGTTAAAGAAAATGACAGGACAATTGTATTCGTGCAAAGTTATAGAATGGGAAATTCATTTCCTAATCCTGTGCATGTGGATGACATCCTACTTGCTAGTGGTGATGTCAACCTACTGCAGGAGGAGAAAAGAAGTTCTTGTCCTCAAAGTTCAAAAGAATGTTCTCGGTAGAGTGTCTCTCGTTATAAGTATCGAGATTCACAAAGAAAAGAATAAAAGAGGGTATTAGGGATGTCAAACGGACATGCTAAGAAAGGTCTCTAAAGTATGCATGCGAGAAAACCTACGCATGTTCTTATAGTCAAGGGTAATGGAACTGAAAACTATGGTGTTCCAAGAGTTGATGAGAAAAGATTGAAAACGGATATGGTACCATATGCTTGAGTTGTTGGAAGCTCAATACATTACCCTGACACAGTTCACATATCCGGGTTGTTTTGGCAATGTCCAGTCCATATATTGATCACTGGAATGGAGTCAAAGATATCGGCCTCAAGCTGAAAGAAATAAGTGCTCTCAAAAGATTGTGAGTACAAAGACATGACTTGTGAAATGTATAGCGAAATCCACAATTGTCGCTAACTTTCATACTTGGTGGTTTTTGTGTGGAAAAGCTCCAAAGAATGAAACAATTATCATCAATGTGATGCAAAGATATGTTGTAGCTTGATATGAGGCTGAGGGACAGGCAAAATGGTTAAGGAGACCTGTACCCGGAGTTGATAATGGTTGACAACAACAATCACCATGTTAAGTAATTCACTCCTATGACAACGAGTCAAGTGTGGTGCCAAACACATTGACACAAAGTTGTACGTTGTTAAGGAGAAAGTCCGAAATTATGTTGAAATGCTTGGAGCATAAAAGCAACAGACAAGTGTTTGCAGATCTGCTTATTAAAGGCTTACCGCCCAGTGTGTTCGGAGAACACACAGTCGACATGGGTTTTATGGTATAGTCTAAAATTTCCGGACAATAAAAGGGCCCAAGGTTAAAGAATTTGTTTCAAAACAGAGAGATACATTGTGGCTGTCTGATTCTATCGGCAATTGAGCTGTGACGATGAAACATGTTCTATGTATTGATCTGTTGTGAAACGAGTAAAGTAAAAGTATACGGTCAAAAGTAAAAGTTGAGATCAAGGGGGAGAATGTTAGGATGATCTCCACCGTGTGGGCCCAACGGCCCACCGGGCCCTTAGATCCGCGCCCTGATCGGGGGCGCTCAACCCACTATGGGTGACGGGCCCCTGTCACCTGCACTATATAAAGAGGTGGGGGCCGGCGGCTTGGATCACGAGATTCGTTGCACAGCCGTACACCCCACCTAATCCCCTACCGATCTAGGGTTAGTGCAGTGCTGATGGGAAGCCGCCGCCATCATTTCACCCACGATCTATCATCACCATCGGCCACCGTCACCATGGTCGGCACCGGTGGCTCCTCGAGCCACAAGCACAAGGTAAGAACTACCAGAATATCTAGCCTACCCGATCCCAATGGATCTAACAGTTTACTCTCACTGCCCAGCGTCCCTATGAGGAAGAACAACGTAAAAATGGGTCCCATGCCTGTGATTTGTTTTTTTTTTGCAAAGTTTTTTACACCCCTGTCAAGTGGCCCTACGAGGAAGAACAATATAAACAATGGATCCCACTCCTGTGATTTTTTTTTTTTGCAAAGATGTTTACTCTCACTGCCAAGTGTCCCTATGAGAGGAAGAACAGCGTAAAAAAATGGGTTCAGTGGGAAAAATTTGGCAGCAGCTTCAAGGGTTCGAACTCAAAAGTTTGGCAAAAACTGGTTCCTACTAACGGGGCCCATTGAAGGTCTAAATAAAGTTGTTCCAGTCCTTGAAATAACATTTCGTTCAAAAATTTCAGATGGTAAAACATGATATTTCCGGTATTTTTCGGTAACTGGTTTTTCCGGGCAGCTTGGGTACAAAAACGGAAATGAGAAAAGAAAACCTGCTAACTAATTAGGCGGGCCGCCTCAGTCTTAGTCATGGATGCGTGCGTTCCTACACACGACAATTCATCGTTGGGTTTGAGGTATTTGTAGCTAACTAGAGGATCTGTATGATATTTCAGCTGCAACGCATTCATGCTTGATTTTTATCTGTGAATGATTTAAGTAACAGATTTTCTAGGTAGCATGTCTTCTCGTCCTCTCCCGCGCCTCACCCCCCAGGCCATCGGGCATCAGCGATCAGTGTGTCCGTCTGATTTCTGCTAAGATCGATCTGCAACGTCCGTCTGTACCTCCGGAGCAGCCCTTTCACTCCGGTGTGGTACATCAATTTTCTATATCATATCTATACACCGTGGCTTACACTTGAAATGGTAAGTTTTGGTAGCATTTGTTTGGCCTTATGCTGCATTGACCATCATCCAGTAGCAGGATGACAGTGACTGAGATAGCATTTCTGGAACCATAGTCCATAGCTAAAGACATATTTTACGATGTATGGTGATCACACTGATACGGTAGGAATCATATACTTGGGGCATGATGTCTGTTCACTCACTTTATTACAACATCACGATTACGCAAAACCACTAGCACCATGACACGATCATAGCGCACACACGACTCACACGCTTCAGCAAGCACGGCGACTAACCAATCTCTTACATGGCGGCGGCACGGCCCTCGTCGCTGGCGGTCTCGATGCCCTCGACACGGCTGTTGGGGACAGCGCAGTTGAACCGGATCTCGCCCTGGCTGCCGGTGAGCAAGTCCATGTTGCTCATCTTCACCATGGATTTGGCGAACTGCTCGAAGAATGCCCCCTGGTTGAGCGAGAACCGCGTCGCCATGCGCGTGGTGTTGGGGTGGACGATGAGGCCCTGGTCCGACTTGAACAGACCCTGCTTGGCAATGAGATCAAAGTAGTACTTGTTGTCGAACACGTCCGGCGTACGCAAATCGAGGGTCTGGTTGACGGTGCCCGCAGGCATGTCCTTAGCACACTTGGCCCTCAACTTGGCCGCGAAATTGGGGTCGATGACTAGGTCGGTGTCGTCGACCGGCGTGAAGCGGTCGGAGAAGGAGGAGCAGTGGGCGATGCCGAAGGAGTGCGCGCCAGAGAGGGACACCAGGTCCGCCTTGTCGAGGTTTCGGTCGCCGAAGGATTTGAGGAGTTCCGGCACGGTGAAGGAGGGCGCCGGTAGGGTGAAGACGAGATCCTCCAACGCTGGGGCTAGCGCGTCACGTCGGCCGAGAGCCACGTCGAAGTGGGGTCCGCCAGCCTATATTCACCACGTAGACGTATATGTTAGTCGTCAGTCGGCATCCAATCTGAACATTCAGATTTGGATTGATGGCCCTGCGTGCTGCATGGCAGGCATCAAGGTCTAGGGTACGTAGCGTACCAGCACGAGGGAGTCGCGGGTAGCAAGGACGGTGAGATCGGCGCAGGAGACAATCCGGCCACAGGCGCGGTGCACGGCGGCGCGGATGCTCTCGATGAGGTTGAGCGCCACCGGCCGGAGCGTCAGGTTGGGCCCCATCCCCTGCTCGCTGTTGTTCCCCGTTAGGAGCACCGAGGCGTCGCAGCCCTGTAACAACAGTAAATAAGTAAGAAGCGTCATACTCCTACTTTTTTTTTAGGATAGTAACAAGTGTCATATATACATACTACTCCCTCTGTCACGGTTTAAAAGGCGCGCTTAAAAATTCTCTGAGGTCTAGGTGGTTATCTATTGGTTGTGAGATGGGCTAAAAAATAGCATTCACACTACGCATGCATATAAAAATAGTATATCGGAGTACTAGTTAGCTACTAAAAATAAATACAATGCGTCCTAAACCTTGTCAATTATGAAAACGCACACAAATTCAACTGTGCCTTCTAAACTGTGACGAAAAGTGTACATATGTTCACTTAGTCACGTAAGCACACATATACATACGTAAATTGTATACTTGTGCCGTATACCTACCTGCGGGAAGCAGTCGTGGAAGAGGATGCGGATGAGTGCGGGGGCGACCCCGACGTCTTTCCTGAAGGCCTCGGCGACGTGGTACATGACGATGTGCTCCAGGTCCGGGCACGACACCGCGTGGAAGTCCGGCGAGAGCCCTGCCGCTGCCGAATGGACGGCCGCGCAGGCCAAGGCCAGGATGACAAGTGCCGCTGCTGCTTTGGACGCCATCTTTCTCACTCTGCAGCAGATGGATGGAGCTAAAGCGTGTCGTGTGGCTTCCTCAAGCAAAGCACCCCAAGGTATTTATAATCGGTCGGTCCTCGGCCAAATGTCTCCGATGCAAGTAGTTAGCCGCATAGCTCGATCTGATCCACAATTCCACACAGATCGACAAGTCGCAGCCAGAGATTACTTACAAAAGTGGATCGACATGTGCAAGTTGCATTGCTTGAACCTAGAAGTCAGAAGAGCTGATTAAGACCTACCGTTGTGATAAAAGAGTCTGATAATGCATGCATCGATGGTGTCGCTTTCCTGGAGCTTTCGTGCACACGCATTTGCACCTAACCAACGGTGACATGTTACCAAACTAGCATACATGTGTATGCAATTAAGGGCGGGTGGGCACGCAAAGAGCTGACCGGATTGATTCCATGGATGGAGAAACCAGAAGATTAGTACAAATCCACTTGTTAATGTATATATTGTCGGGCATAGATTGCTAATCAAGATCAAGTAGGATATTATGAAGAATGGAGACCTGGATATGCTTAACGGATTTTGGAATAGTTTCAGATGGCATCTAGGAGTTGAGTGACAGCTTGATGGCGGATTAATTAGCTAGGGCTGGTTAGATAGATGGGATCGATCCATGGAGTGTGGTCTCATCTCCGGGAGGAATAATTTTGAATGGCACCTGCAAGATCGACATGCTAGAAATCCGCTGAAAATTCTTAGCTAGGTCGGCCACGTGATGCACCTTCACTGTATCATAGTGAAGCCAATTATAAATCTAGACTAGATGGAGCCAGTCATGCGCTTCTCTTTGCATATCTGATTGCGCTTCTCGATTTGAAGGCATTCTAGCTAGCTACTACGTACCACAGTCCAGTTAAATTACCGTCATCGACATCTTTTTGGAGAGTATAGGCATGAGAATACTGTCAGAAGCAAGGGCCTGGAAGCAAGCTGGACTGCTCAGAGGCGACCTTGACCGATTCTTTGTGGAGTTGTACTTGTGGGTTAGGCGTGAGGAGTAATCTTGTCCGTGTTGTAAGGGTGGACTTGGGTGTGTTCTTGTTGTAATCGCCCAGGTGGAGGGGGCTCTTAAACCGTTTCTCTCTTTAATATATGATACGCACTGCTCGTGCGTATTTGAGAAAAAACTGTTCTATTTGAGCTGTGGTTGGGCTCAGCTCTGCAAATACACGAATGACCGTCTGTGTGGCCTGCTCAAGCTACCTGCCCACTAAGCCATTGTTATCGGTAATTAACATTTTTTTTAAGATTTAACCTTTTTATTGCGGGTATTTTCAATCTTGCTAGCTAGCCGTAGCCAGACGGCGATAATACTACACACACGCAGGGAAACAACGGACAATTACGGACCCTCCCTGCGTGCTATACCTGGCCAGACCTCAGTCCGGGCCGGGCTTCGGGCTAGGCCTAGCCAAGCCTGAGGCAAAAAACCCAGGTCATTCCTGGCCTGGCCCGGCCATCGGGTCTCGGGCCGGGCCCCTTCAGGAAATCGAAAAAATGATGGACCCGGGCCGGGCCTGGCTCGGCCATCAGGCTCAAAATCTAGGTCCGAGCCTGGCTCAGGAGCAGTGTCGGGCTGGGCCAGGTCAGGCTTTTTCGGGTCAGGTTGGCCGGGCCGGGCTTCCCATGGCCAGGTATACTGCGTGCCCTCCACTAATTGGCCTCCCCTATGAGGGATCGATAGAGAGAAGAGCGTGCCTGGTCGTCTCTTGGACGACATGCTTGCGTCTGCATGCCAACCACTTGCAACGCAAATCACTCGCGTTCCTACACAACAAGTCAATGCCCAGCTCCTCCCTGCGTACATGCATGTGACATTTTGAATCTGAGTAGCAAAACAGCAGTGCTATACACACGACATAATGCACACGATTCATGCACGATACTTAAATCCAGCCGGACATGCACATGATTGAGAAAGGCACCAGCAGCTGGATTAGCACGTCGTGCATAGATCGGGCAGCACTATCGTCTGAGTGGCAGTTTCGGTAGCAAAACGACCACATGCATGTAACTCCTCACGTGGAAACCTAGTACGGTTCCGATTAAGTTACTGTCACGTACGTGGGGTACTGGGGTGTGGATCTGACTATCTGAGCAGCACAACAAGCACATATATTTTCGAAAACCGATTCCGATCATCATGTGATTCGATCACCAACGATCCACCTGCCGATTAGAGCAACTATAGCAGAGTGGGCCATGTGATTCCGATCACCAACGATTTTGAGCCAAAATCACACTCTAGCCTACTCGCCGTATGGCTCCCAACCGATATAATTCATGGAGCTCTCTCCATAAACGAGCTCGCAGCCTCCATATATGGAGTCTCGGGAAGGCCAATATGGAGCTTACTTCAAACCCAACCGCCAGCACATGAGCGAAGTTTCAGATTATGCCTCCTTGCGCCGCCCACACGATTGAAATGGCACTGCCTCCCTCACCATCGGGGACGACACCCGGCCGTTAATGCCCTGCCCACGCCTTCCGGATCCAATGTCGGATGGCCACCACACGACATCATCTCATGGCTTGCATCCAAGCAAGCCGGGAGGATCCATGCGAACAGGCAGGACTGTGCGAGAAGGCGGGAGCCACACGTGCGAGAAGGCCAGAGCTGTGTGAGCGTCGCTGCATTTCTCACCGGGAAGTGCGCCCCTTGTTGATCGTCCGTCAAGTGCACTCTCCTCAACTGCTTCTTAATAGTGGCTCCGACGGCCTATAAAAGGCCAACACCGCCTCTCCTCTCTCCCATTGCTCTTCCTGGCGCCTCCCAAATCTTTTAGGCCAGCCTCCGTTTCGCCTCCCAGAAAATGTTCCGGAAATCACCGTGGGGTCCTCTGGACCCCTCCTTGGAGCAGTTGGAAGAGGGCCTTGCCAATTTCCATATCGTCATACTTCGAAAATAGTATTCTATGTTTTATCAATGTTTCATATGGAGCGCTTTATATGCGATTTGGAAGTTGTCAGTATGACGACTCTACGTACTAGAGTTGTGAGCTAGACCTCTAGATCTTTAGCGAGACAGCGAACCCTCACTGGCTCTTCTCAATTCCAAAGCTCGATTTAAATCTGGCAAAGTTCGCACTAATCTATCCAATTACTTGCAAGGCGCGTGCTAGTCTGGGGATCCTAGAGCATGACAATTTGTTGAGGATCACTTAATTTCCCGATGAACTTGTGTCATCATGCCTCTCTCCATCCTCTTTTAGGCGGACCCCATCTCATGTAGCTAAACACAACTCTAGCACATTGGCCACATCTACGATCATCATCCTCCATATGGAACTCAAAGTAGACATACCATACGCATGTTTCAGCAAGATAATTTTATAGGAACTATAATTAGTGACGAAAAATATTGTTTAACAACATTTTCAAAATAAACAATAACATTGCTACCTAGACACTACCTAATCTACTCAGTGGCCGGCGCCGTCTAGTCACCGCCCTCGCTGCCGTCGTCGTCTTCCTCCTCCATGTGTCGATGTCCTCTTCACACTCTAAGGGACGAGAGATCCTCGAAGTAGGCATACGGGTTGGGCTGACGAGCGGCAGCAACAGGCCGCGGCTGCTCCTCCTCATCAGTAAGTACCGGGCCGCACTCACAGATGATGCACGCCGAGCTTCATGGGCGGTGAGCTAGAGCACGGTGTGGATCGGGTCCTTAGTCTCTGGCTCCGGTTCAGGGATTGAGAGATCAAGGTTAAATTCAGACTTCCTCTACCAATTCAAGGTTTTTCCAAATTTTTCTCATTTGAGAAATTCATGCATTTGACTGAAAGCTAGCTGGACGTACGACTGTGGGATCCTAGTACGGTTCCGGTTAAATTACTCACGTTCGTTGGGTGGATCTGAGTTGCATAACCACTATGTATGTTTTTGAAAAAAGACGAGTAATTAGACAATTAGAGCATCTCCAACAGGCACCCCGAAATTGCCTCACACGCAAAAAACACCTCGTTTTTTACGCTGGAGACAAAAACATCACTCACGCAGTCGCTGTAAAGTAGAGCATGCTCAAAAAAAATAGCGCACGGGTGTGCGCATGAGCTACGGGGCTGCAAATTTAGGGCGCCGAATTGTGCGTGCGGGGTGCTGCAGGTGCTGTGGTGGAGCGTGAATCAAATATTAGGGGGAGCCAAATGAGTGTGTATGACATAAAAAAGGCTAGGGTGATCAGATACGCCGGAGGATTAATAGAGTAATTAGCAGATTAGTAAGTGTATTTGGTAAATTTTCCTCCTGGAAGGGGGGCCCGGGCCCGAAATTATTCCCAACAACGCTCCGCCACTGTGCAGGTGGAGCTGTTGGATTGGACGCCGTGTTTTTGTGCATTTTGAAAATCTCTTCGTCGCTCCCGCGGACAAAAAGACTGTTTTGGCCCTATAAAAGAATTATAGCACACCGAGGCGAAGCGCGCCTTTTAGGAGTCCCAGAACAAAGTGCTATAATATGATTTTAAACAAGAGTAAATCTAGAATAATATGGGCTACATTAGCTAGCGAGCTCTTATTAAGACATTAATCTCGCTAACATCGGTGATCTCAAGCAGAGGCGGCGAGCCCCTCGTCGCTGGTGGTGGTGAGGATGCTCTGTCCATTGCGCACGAAGCAGCTGTTGCGACGGATCTCGCCGACGTTTCCTTGGGGCCCCTGGAGATTCCCGAGCTTGGTCATGGAAGCAGCAAACTGGCCGAAGAACCACCAGTGGTTCCCGGCAAAGCCGTTGACAACCCATTCGGTGCGCCAGTCCGCGGTGAGCTTCTGGTCGGAGGTGAACACCCCCTTTCCCTGTTGCAGGTTGGTGAAGTACTTGATGTCGAACACGTCCGGGGTGGTGACGTCGAGGTCCTGCAGCCGGTTGAAGTCGCTGGAGCAGTTGGAGGCGAGGCTTCGGACGAAGTCGGAGTCCTCGGAGAAGCGGTTGGAGAAGGAGCTGCAGTGGCCCTTCCCGATGGTGTGGCCACCTGAGAGCGCGACGAGGTCGACATTGTCGAGGTTGCGGGTATCGAAGACGTCGATGAGCGTGGAGGCGTTGGAGCTGGCCTGGGGGAGATCGAAGACGGCCGAGCTCGGCGCCGGCGCGAGGCTGTCGAGCCTGCCGAGCGGCACGTCGTAGCCCTGACCCCCGGAGAAGGCAACGGCATCGCGGGTGGCGAGGGCCGTGATGTCGGCGCAGGAGACGACGGGTCCGCAGGCGGCGTGCACCTGGGCACGGATGGACTCAATGAGCTGCAGCGCCCGCGGTTGGAGCGTCAGATTCGGCGGCAACTGGAGCTCGCTGCCGTCTCCCGTCAGAAGGACCGACGCGTCACAGCCCTGTACAACCACGAAACAAATTATGCTCTCAAATATTTATTTTTTACCATTAGTCGATATATATGCGTACATTTTACGCTCCTAAAATTCTTGTCTTAGATTTGTATATAGACATATCTGTATTTGGACAAATCTAAAACAAAAACTTTAAGACCAAGGTAATATGTTAATAAAAATATTATTTTTCATTGTGACGAATCTTACCATAATACTTTCTCCGTCAGAAAAAGATTAACCTTCAAATAGATGTATCTAGCATCAAGATAGTGCTAGATACATCCATTTAAGAGACAAGATTGGGACAAGTCTTTTCGGACGAAGGGAGTACCATTACCATCTTTGCCATCAGTTAGATAGATCACACTTTCCTTTAATATGAGATCTAGCTAGCTGGATTAAATTACCTGAGGGAAGCAGTCGTGGAAGAAGATGCGAAGGAGGCCGGCGGCGAGGGCGATCTCGCTGTGGAGCGCGGTCTCCATGGCGGAGCGCACCACGTCCTGCAACTGCGGGCAGGAGTCGGCATGGAAGTCGAAGGCGAGTCCATCGGCGGGGGAGACGGGAGGAATACGGCCACCGACGTGGTCGGTGGGCATAGAGATGAACGCCGCCGACGGCTTGGACAAGGCTGCAGGGCACAGCACCGCGGCCACGAGGACCAGCATCGCTGCTGTCCTGCTCGACGCCATTGATCCTAGCTAAGCTACCTTGATGAGCTCAGTGCCTGCAGAGTACTAGTGCTACTTTGGCACTAGCTGCAATGGAGTGTGGCTTCCTCACGTCAACGAGATGCCCTTATTTATAGAGGAACTAGATGATCGATCGATCGATGCTTGACATCAAAGTCGTCGGAGTAATTAAGCGGGAGCAGAGATCCAAAACGAGATCGAGTAGGTGGCAAGCTACACCACGATCCAAGTGCACATGCTTGATCACGTACGTGGTGATGCAGATTGCAGAAGTCATGTGCGTAATGTACTTGTGCCGACCAAGCTCCCGGATCCCGTGTTTCTGCTCGTGGCATGTCAACGAACAGTACGCCGAGGCCAGTAGTTAGGCCAACTCCACCGCGCGACTTCAAACAGATGTCGTTTTGTCCGGATTCTATCCATTAGGGAAGGGCAGTAGAGTCGTATCCGGGCGTGTCCTGAGATACGGTGGTCGTGTGCCCAGCACGGCCGCATCCGTTTGCCTCATTTTGTCGGTCTTTATTTTAAAAAAAGAGCAACGTTTCAAATGACAAGCCCTAGTTCATCAGGCCAGCGGCCCTAGTCCACGCCGACAACAGAGCCAGCGGCCTACACGTCCATCGCCGCAACACAGCCAGCCTCCAAAATGAATAGTTGTCCTCACCGGCAACATAGCCAGCGGCCGACAACACAGCCGGCCTCCAAAATGAATGTTTTTCTCACCGGCACACAGCCAGCAGCCCAGCGGGCGGACGATACCCATGCCAGCCTCCAAAAAGAACGGCCACGACCGATCGGACGACCTAGTTCAGGCCGTCGGCGTCCAACATCTCTTTCTGCCTGGCCTCGAACCAGGCCCTCGTCTTCTTGCTCATCTTGGACAAGTCCACGCTCATGATCGCAAAGGCCACCTCCTCTACTTTGGTTGCGGCATTGATGGCCTCGATCTCGAGCTGCCTCTGCCTGGCCGAGACAATGGCGGCCTCGATGTCGAGCTGCCTTTGCCGGGACGCCTCCTCCATGCAGATCTTCCTCCTCTTGGCCGCCTCCTCCATCTCAAGCTTCTTCCTTTGAAGCTCTAGGTATTGCTTCATTTGCTCGTCCTTGCTTTGCCGCTTCTTCTCGTCCCTCATATTCTTTTGAGACATCATGCCATGCAAAGTGTCATGCAAGGCCATGGATGAGGCATCACGTATGTCGTCCACCTTGGAGTTGGTCTTGCCCCTCGGCCTCTTCAACGCTTCGCCATCTCCACCTCCAGCGAACTTGGCCGTCTTCTTGCCTCGCTTCCTTTGAAGTTCACGGCATTGATCCTTGAACTTAGGGCAATTGTTGATGATCGTCCAACAATGTGTAAGAGTGAATGGCTTGTCATTGTGCCGGGCCTTGAATGCTTCCAAAGATTGAAATGCCTACACCACATGATCAACAACAATTGAACATGCAAACATATACAAGGCCGAAGTCTCACATGGTCGTAGCAAGGAAAAGGACTAGGATAAGGAGAGCATACCATGTCCCCAATGCCGAGACCACTCATGAGCCGTGCTTCAACACTCTCAATTGCGGCGCAATACTTGTTACACTCTTGTTGGATGAACAACCACCTCTTTTGAATCGAGGTGATGCCATGGTTGCTTGTCATTTGATAGGGGGCTCAAACATCTTCCTTTCATGGAATGTTTTGTGGACTCTCATCCAAAGAACAAGGCCCTTTTGTTGCGCGTCGGTCTTCGGATCTTGGCTAATCTCCAGCCAACATTGGCAAATCAACTTGTCCTCATCTTGTGTATATGAACCCATGCGAATGCTCTTCCTCCTTTTTTGTGCTTTCGCTCTTTGGGTGAGCTCGTCGATGAACAATGGCTCGCTTTCTTTGCATCTTGACATGGTGCACGTGCTTGCTTTCTTTGCATCTTGACGGCCGGCCGGCCGCCGCTGCTAGACCCAGGCGTGACGTTGATGTCGATGACGGCCGAGGGGCGCGGTGTGGACGGCGCGATCACGCCAATGTTCGGCGACCCCGACAAACGAGTCTGGCCGTCGTGCCTTGGCGGGGGAAAGTCGGGCGACATGGGCGTGGTCCGCGACTGGCAGTGCGGAGGCCGGGCGACCGACGAATCTGTGCTCGCCGGGCCGACGACTGCTGCAGGGAAACCGTCCGGACGGCACATGCCAAGTATGAGAAGGGTGTGCGCTTTGTTGACGATGTCCCCCATCTCGTTGACCGCGGCCTCCATCGCATCGCGCTCGGCGGCGAACTTGGCCGCGGCGGCATTGACGTTGACGACCACTCTTCGGCCCCTCCTCTTCGCCGATTCCGCGTCCAACTTGGCGTTCTCCTCCGACATGCACTCCGACCACGGTTTCCTTGGCGCCTTGGCCGCCTTC